TATGCAGAACGATCGGCACAACCGACACATTCTATCCATCCCTAATGAAAGAAACAAAAAAAAAAATTATAAAGAGAAATTTATTATATAGACAATAATAAAAAGACAACACACATAGCTACTTTGAATTTCTGCATCCCAGCAATCGCAAGCATAATGTGCCATCTCATTAGGCATATGTTGGCGAAAGCGAAGTCTATCGCATTTGATACCAAGCATAGTTAAAAATAAATGTGTGCGAGCAAGGAAATAGCCGAGAGTTTCGTTGTCTACAATTTTCTATATTGAAATGATAGTATAAAGTTAAAATTTTTTTTTTAAAAAAAAAAAAAAAAAAAAAGGAAATTTATAAAAGCGAGTTGATAATTACTTTTTCAACAGCTTCACCAATAGGTAATTCGATTGGTACAGTTTTACCTTCACTTTGTATGTATCGTGGCAGCAATGAAAGCTTAACATCTTTTACTTCATCAAAACGATCATGTTTCTTGTTATTAGGATCTACGTAATGTTCGATTTCAGCCATCGTAAATTCTCTAAATAATTTAAACATATTTGTTAATCACAAAATCCAAGGTTCTATATGCAAGGATTGAAATAATTCTCACCTAACCCGGAGAAGACCAGATCTTGGACTAATTTCGTTTCTGAAAGAACGACCAATAGAAGCGGAAGCGAAAGGCATTTTATCATTATTAAATTCAAGAAATTTCTTAAAGTTAAGAAATTGGCCTTGTGCAGTTTCCGGTCGAAGGTAGCTAACATAATGAGAATGATAAATATATATGATAAATATATATAGAAACCATCTGATAAGTATAGAAAAAAAAAAACGAAGAGAGCTAGATTACCCTTTTAAATGTCCAGTGGGTCCAATACTACTCTCAAACATTAAATTAAACTCGACTGGTTCGGTTAAATCATTACCCGTTTCGGGACTTTTGATATTATGTTTACATATAATTTCCCCAAGTTCCGTACCAGTATAATTATCAATCTATTTTATTAATACATTAACGACACGAGTCATACTATTAGTTAATAATGATTAAAATACTTTTGTAATTCATTATGATATTATGTAATTGAAATTGCCTTTGCCAAGATTTCTTCATATTCCATTTTTGTAGTTTCATCCAATTTTACAGGTTGAATTGTACCCTTTTTCTTCTTTTTATCCTTTTGAGATTTTGCATCATTTCCAGTCAATTCTAAATTAGCTTGTTTATCACCATCTAGCCTTGCTTCTAGAACAGCTTCAACTAGGTGGTCAGCACGAAAAATATCACCAGTCTTTTTATCTTTAACCATCCAATCACTAAATTTATCCACATGGCCAGATGTTTTTAAAACATCAGCTAGTGTAATAATTGCACCATCCATTTCAAGCATTTCCTCCTCTAACACGAAATGTTTGCGCCATAAATCGAGAATATTAGACTGAAGGGCGCAGCCGGGAGGACCATAATCATAAAGTCCCGCAACACCTTTTGAATTCGGAGTTTAGAATTTGAATTAAAAGGTTGTAAGAATAAAATAAAATAAAATAAAAATAAACAAAAAAAAATGTAATTTATATCCGAATACTTTAATATTACATGTAAACCTTTGGATCTTGTCTCTCAAATTACATTTTTTTTATAGAAAGTTTCCTTACCACCATATGCTTGAAAA